CATTCTTTTTGTCTTCTAGTGCATTTAGGACCTTGTCGTAGTGATCCAATAGTTGAGACAGACAGGAGCGACCTGTTCTAAACCCATGTTGCCCTGGGTTGTGTAACTGATGGGTTTCTAGATGGGTGGTGATCTTGCTTCTTAGGACCCTTTCAAAGATTTTTATGATATGGGATGTTAGTGCTATTGGTCTGTAGTTCTTTGCTGTTGCTTTACTGCCCCCTTTGTGGAGTGGGGCTATGTCTGTTGTTTTTAGTAACTGTGGGACGACCCCCGTGTCCATGCTCCCTCTCCATAGGATGGAAAAGGCTCGTGATAGGGGCTTCTTGCAGTTCTAGTAATATTGTACGTACTGTACAGTAATATTGTACGTACTGTACAGTAATATTGTACGTACTGTACAGTAATATTGTACGTACTGTACAGTAATATTGTACGTACTGTACAGTAATATTGTACGTACTGTACAGTAATATTGTACGTACTGTACAGTAATATTGTACGTACTGTACAGTAATATTGTACGTACTGTACAGTAATATTGTACGTACTGTACAGTAATATTGTACGTACTGTGCAGTAATGTTGTACGTACTGTACAGTAATATTGTACGTACTGTACAGTAATATTGTACGTACTGTACAGTAATATTGTACGTACTGTACAGTAATGTTAAGCCAGTTGAAAATGTTAACCAGAGCACTTTGTGAAGTGGGTTAGTAAAGTTAACCATAAATATAACACTTGTTAACCAGAGCACTTTGTGAAGTGGGTTAGTGAAGTTAACCATAAATATAACACTTGTTAACCAGAGCACTTTGTGAAGTGGGTTAGTGAAGTTAACCATAAATATAACACTTGTTAACCAGAGCACTTTGTGAAGTGGGTTAGTAAAGTTAACCATAAATATAACACTTGTTAACCAGAACACTTTGTGAAGTGGGTTAGTGAAGTTAACCATAAATATAACACTTGTTAACCAGAACACTTTGTGAAGTGGATTAGTGAAGTTAACCATAAATATAACACTTGTTAACCAGAGCACTTTGTGAAGTGGGTTAGTAAAGTTAACCATAAATATAACACTTGTTAACCAGAACACTTTGTGAAGTGGGTTAGTGAAGTTAACCATAAATATAACACTTTAACCAAGCACTTTTTTGAAGTGGGTTAGTAAAGTTAACCATAAATATAACACTTGTCAACCAGAGCACTTTGTGAAGTGGGTTAGTAAAGTTAACCATAAATATAACACTTGTTAACCAGAGCACTTTGTGAAGTGGGTTAGTTAAGTCAATCGTTATTAAAACAAGTGTTAATCAGTCATTATAAAAAAATTAGGAATGATTGAATATTTCTGCTGAGTCATGATGACTTGCAGCTTTCCCCTCAGGCACATAACCTTGAGATCAGATGATCGTGCGGATGATGCCTCACGGTCTATTCTTCTCCCTATATTGTCTATTATTCTACCGTCATCTATCATTCGATTGTGTAGGAGAGGCATGTCTTGGGTGGTTGAAGTAATTCCTTTGATTGAGAATGAGTCAATCAGGACATGAATGTCATTCACTTACTTTGTCATCGGCATTTGATAATACTTGTTGCCGTGAATGGCAGGAAATATACACTTAGTAGATGTATATCAGTGTATTATAACACTGGTAGTTTACATTAATTAGTATTATAGATATTAAAGTATTACGTTTTAGTGGTAACAGGCAGTATTAATGACCCTGGTGTGGAATAGACTTGAAATTCTCCTCCACCCAATAAAAACAAGCAGCAAACCGCTTGTGGCTTCACAGTGATAACAAGTGGGTTGTTGTGGTACAGTGTTCGCAGTTATTTCACTGGAGAAACAGATCTGCCTTACAAACTATTCACAGTCTTTTAAACTGTTCACTTCTGAAGAACACATCACACCTGGTAAGTTGTGCAAAAAATCGACCTTATTTGCAATTATATACAGTCAGCTCTCTTGTAAAGTGCCTTCATATACATTCTGGCATTTGTCACTGGTGGCACACACAGTGCCTCTGCTGCCTTACTGGAATATAATAACTTGTCCAACCACTAGTAACATTCTCCCAGACTCTAGTACCTCTGCTGTCTCTCTTAGGACCCACCAACGATATATTACCTCACCTCACAGTCTTCCAGATTTCTTCTTCACCTCTCCTGGTGTATGTATTGTATACAGCACTCGCTGGTGCACTCACCCTATCACCCTCCCAGTCTACTCCGTGAATAACTTCTTAAAATTCTGGCTGAGCTCCTTACAGACTTCCTGGTCACTTCCTAGAACCTTTCTTCCCTCCTTCCTTCCTACGTCAGCATCATTACCTCGCATTTCACCGTTTTCTTCCTCCTGGTGTGGCTGTGTAGCAACTTTATCTCAGAATTGATTTCCACTGTTGTGTTATTCTCAGACAAACGTTCATTCTCTCTTCTTACCCATAAATATTCCTTCCTGATGCTTCTCCTTCCTTCTTCTCTTGTATTCTCTACTTCCTTTATTTCTTCCATTATTCTTGTAGGCATAGTTGTTACCTCTCGGCACTTCTGGGTGAACCATAGTTCACTATACATCTCTGGGTGAACCACGGTTCGCTCTACACCTCTGGATGAACCATGGTTCATTTTACATCTCTGAGTGAACCATGGTTCACTCTACACCTCTGAGTGAACCATGGTTCATTCTATACCCCTGGGTAAACCATTGATCATTCTACATATCTGGGTGAACCATGGTTCACTCTACATATCTGGGTGAACCCTGGTTCACTCTACATATCTGGGGTTTTAAAAACCCTGGTTCATTCTATACCCCTGGGGAAACCCCTTGATCATTCTACATATTGGGGTGGGAACCCAAAAGGTTCACTTACAAAATCGGGGTGAAAACCCGGTTTTTACTCTAAAATATCTGGGGGGAACCATGGGTTTCCTTTTACATATTGGGTGAGCCTTTGTTCACTCTGCCCTTTGGGGTAACCCTGGGTTCACCAAATGAAACCTTCCACTTGCCTTTCCTTTTCCCGTTTTTCAAACCCAACCCCTGGTTGCAGGGGCCGACCCACAGGGTCCCGCCCCTTCCCGTGGGGCGTCAAGCCCCCGTTTAAAATTAACCACCTCACTGTAACCCTTACGGGAAGGATGGTGATGCCCGGTTTGTGCTTGGGGGGTGACGGTGGATGGTTGAAAGGTGGTGCAGTTTTACTCTAAGCACCCCCTCAACTTTCTTTGGGGATCAAAGTGGGGGCCCAACTGCCCCCCGGGGGACTTTCCCAAACCTGGGGCCAATTATAAGTTTTTTATCTCCCAAAAAGAAACCAAAAGGGTGGCTGATTTGGGCAGGGGAAGATTTTTGTTAAAGGGGGTGGTTTTTGCCTTGAAACCCCCCCAGATTGTTGTTCACTGTAAATTTTGTCTTGAAAAACCAAACCCTAGAAAATCGTTCGGTTGGTTATTGTGTGCCCCGAAAAAACCCCTAGGGTTGTTTGATTTAGGGTATCCTTAAAACCTCAAATTGGGAAGAAAGTGGGCTTTTTTCAAAAAAAGTTATCAGTAGAAATTAAAGTCTTTTAAAAACCTGCAAACCTTGGGCTTTTAAGGGGGGTTTTTTTAAGAAAAATAAAGTGGAACCTTTTATTCTGTTTTAAATTTCCTTTTTCCAACAAGGTCGGGCCCAAAAACCCATTTTTTACGAAAAATGGGGGAAAAATTTCCCCAAAAAAAATAAAGTAAATCCCAAATTTTGGTTTTCCCAAAACCCAAAAAATTAAAAAAAAATACATTTTATAGAGAATAACTATAGTTTTTTTCATTTGAGAAAAAAAAAAATTTAGAAATAAATATAAAGGAAAAATAAAAATTTTAAAAATTTTTTTAAATCACTTTTTCCTTTTTTAAAGACTTTGTTGTGTATGGTAGACAGTGGGAATGGAGAGGGGGAGGGGTTTCCCCAACCCCTATCACTTTTTACCCTCTACCACCAACACAACCACCCTCTACCACCATTTACAACCCAAACCCCTAAACCAACCCTCACAACCACCCTCAAACCACCCTCGCAACCCCTTCCACCCCCTAAAACCCCCATCACTACCACCATCCCCACTACCATCACTTTTTTCCCCCCCTAACCCCCCTCACTACAACCCTTTTCCACCTTTACAAACCCCCCTGTAACTTCCAAACCCCAAAACCCCACTTTCCCCCCATCACTTCCCCCCCTCTACCCCCTCACAAACCCCCCCTCAAACCCTTCCCCAAAACCCTCCTCTACCCCCCCTCACTACCACCCCCTAAAAACCCCCCCACCCCCACCACCAACCCTTTACCCCCTATCACTAAAACCCTCTACCACCAAACACAAAAACCCCCTACCCCCAACACTTTACCCCCTTTTCCACCATCACTTCCCCTTTTCTTGAGTAACAGAAAACAGAAAGAGTCACGAAAAGTTATGAGCACCGCCCACGTCGGCAGCGGGTGTGTCTGGTCGGACAATTTCCGGGGGGATGTAATGAAAAAAAAGGGGGGAAATTTTGCCAAAAAACGGTTGAAAAAGGAAATAAAAAAAGAGAATGTGAATAAATTTTCCAAAAAAAATTAAACCAAAAACAGAATTCGCAATAATGGTTTCAAGTTTAAAAATTTTTGATTAAAAAAAGATTTTAGGAAACACTGGGTTTTGGGGATAGAGTTGGGATGAGTTATACCAAACTCCGCGGTAGCATAAGAAGCTTAAAAAACCTTGTGTAGTTTTTTTTAAAAAAGGTAAGATAAAAAATTAAATGGGTGTGGGGGTTGGGGTTGGAAAAGCCCCCTTTGTATGGTTAGGAAAGGCCCCTCCCTTCAGTGCTTCTTTTTTATGTTCTTATAAAATCCAAGAAGCCTCGGAGGTTCAACACTGTGTGTGGATTCTATGAGTTGTTGAAGTCCAGACTGGTGACTGCAGACTCTGAACTTACGTTCGTGTTAACAGGTTTAAAGGAGCCTCGGGGATTCAACTGTGTGGGGGTTCTACGAGATGCTGAAACCCAAACTGATGATTGCTGACCCAGAGCTTGTCAAAGCAGTCCTGATCAAGGACTTCGACCACTTCGTCGACCGTCGAATATTCAACTTAACCTCAGACAGGGATGAGATCATCAATGAGATGCTGACACAAGCCACAGGGACCCACTGGAAAGGCATCCGCTCCGTGCTGTCTCCCAGCTTCACATCCGGCCGGATGAAGGGAATGTATCCACTCGTGGAGCAGAAGGCTGATGCTCTGTTGGATTACATTCACAAAAAGTTAAAGACCAAAACATCCATTAAGCTGAAGAAATGTTTTGGTCTCTATACCCTAGAGGTCATCTCATCCTGCGCCTTTGGCATGGACACCAACTCACTCAGAGACGGCCATTCCACATTCAACACACAGGTGGAAAATATTTTCAAGACCAGCACAATCAGAATGATCAAAATGATATTCCTCTTACACTTCCCCAAGCTCAGCAACGTCCTGAAGATGAGCTTCACCCAGCCTGAGGTATTCTTCTTCAGGGACGTGGTAACAGAGACCATTAAGCAGCGAGAAGCAGGAGGGAAGAGAGGAGACTTCCTGGATCTCATGATGGAGTCCAGAGACCACCAGAGTGGCCCCACCTCCAAGACTTCTAAATATCGTAATGTATCAATTGCTGTCTCGTTCATCTTCTTCTGAAACATTGTTAGTGCAGTGGTTCAGAGTCTACTATACTGGTGACAGCAGAGGTGCTGAGTCTACCACACTGGTAACAGAAGTGGTGCTGAGTCTATCCCACTGGTGACAGCAGTGGTTCAGAGTCTACCACACTGGTGAAAGCAGTTGTGCAGAGTCTATCACACTGGTGGCAGCAGTGGTGCAGAGTCTAACATACTGGTGGCAGCAGTGGGATTTCCAACAGTGGTGTTAATAGTGGGATTAATTTTATCTGTTGTAACTGCAGTCTCCACTGGCATCAGTAATTACCTCTTTCTCTCTCTCCTCAGCACTGAAGATGAGTACGATAGTAGCTGAGAGCATCCTGTTCATCCTAGCTGGCTACGACAACACAGCCAGCACAATCTCCTTTGTCGCCTTCCTCCTAGCTCAGCACCAGTCCCAGCAACAGCGCCTTCGTCAGGAACTGAGAGAGATCGCTGTGGATGGAACAATCACCTACCAAGATCTCATGGAGGCCAAATACCTGGATGCTTGCATCTCAGGTGTGTCTTGCACTATACGCAATTTTGGGCATGGGTATGACAGGGCCTCACGAAGGTGGGAGGGATGCTGGGGTGCCAGTAGTGGCTGGCTGAGAAGCAGGACTCAGGAGCTGAGACTCGATCCCCTCCAACCACAAGTACCTACATGCACCAGTCATCAATAGAAATAATAATAATAATAATAATAATAATAATAATAATAATAATAATTTTAATTATCAAAAGAATACAACTGTTACTACTAGTGCTTCTACAACTATCACTATTACAACTATCACTACCAAACAGTTTCGTTGGTTTCAAACAGTTTCGTTGGACAATAAAGCAGACTGTAAACGGGTGGGGTTGTAGGCGCCCTTATAAACACAAACATTAAAAATCAGGAACGTGACGGTAAGCTGTCCAATATACAAAAAGAGTTAGAAACAGAAATACAAATAGCTAGAGCTTCATTTAAGGTTATTAATATAATATTCAAGAGGTTGCTAGTAGAATTGCAGTAAATCAACCATTCAAATCATTATGAAGCTGTGTGTAGTCTGTGGTCAGTCAAACAAACGGGCTTCCACATGGATAAAATTGTCATTTTTGTGGAAATTGGTGTCACGCCCCTTGTGCAGATATCCCAGAACTAGCTACAAGCAGTATTAAAACAGAGAATGTGTTTTTGGGTATGCCCAAATGAGAAAATCTGTGGACTAAAATCACAAGGGTATTAAAGAGGACAACATCAAAGCTGCTTTCATAGAAAACCTGGAAGCTTTCTACAACAGATGGGAACATAAAAAGTCTGGGCTGAATGGTACTGCCCTTGATACTGGCCATGTAGTCACAAACTGTAAGGCTGGAGGTGATGTCCTGGTAGTCAGTAAATGTGGGGCTGATAGTGCTGTCCTGGGAGACAGTAATGGTGAAGCTGGAGGTGCTGTCCTGGGAGACAGAAATGGTGAAGCTGGAGATACTGTCCTGGGAGACAGTAATGGTGAAGCTGGAGATTTTGTCCAGGTATTTCGGGAATTATACGCAGGAAGGAATACATATAAATGACCTCATAGGGGACAGGAGCCATAGTAGGGAAACAAGTGTAGTCAAAGATAAGATAAAACCAATATTGCAAACTAGAAATACCGCAGGAAATAGCAAACAAGAGGACTCAAATAGCAATAGTGAGGATAAATTACCAAAAACAACTGGTGGGAGCTCCATTGTTGGTGCTAGGGAGGATAGAAGTAAGACAGGGAAACATGCACCAACAGGGAATACAGTCACAGAAACCCAAGGCAAGCGGAAACCAAGCCTGTGCACATACTATGCACTTGGTATCTGCTGGCATGGGAAATCTGGAAAAACAGATGGGACATGCAACTATGACCACCCTAGAAAATGCCATGCCCATATGACGACAGGAAAATGCAAACTCCCTTCCTGTAAGCTTTTTCACCCTGAAATGTGTACCTCTTCAGTACAGGAAAGACTGTGCTATAACTTAAATTGCCAGGCATACCATCTAAAGGGGACAAAAAGATACAAAACATCCAGGCCATCGGAGAACCTGGGTAGCCACAGCCACTCAAGAGGGAGAGGTTTTTTAGTGCCAGGAAGGAAAAAAAACTGGCAGGAAATGGCAGAAATCGTACACCAAATCCAGTCATTCCTGGAGTGGAACCACAGTCGATGGCCTCCACTCCAAACCAACAGATACAGATACTAATGCCGGAAAAAAAATCCCCCCCCAGTACCAACAATACCACCAGTCCGATAACATTCTTCTTTGCAAATATACAGGGTCTAAAGCCAGCAACAAACAACAAAATACCTTTCATCCGTGGACTGCTTGCAGAGGCAAAGGCAATGTTCGCGGCTTTCACTGAGACCCACATAAAGGATCACTTGGAGAACGAAATATGGATCCCAGGTTACAACCTATACAGATGTGACAGAGTGAACAGGCAAAAGGGGGGGGTTGGCCTGTACATTGCAGAGTCACTTGTTTGCACAGAACTGCTTAATGCCTCAAATGACGTAGTGGAACTTTTAGCAGTAAAGGTCGAGAACCAAAACCTAGTCATTGTGGTAGTCTACAAGCCTCCGGATGCAACATCCCAGCAATTCCAGGAACAGCTGTTAAAAATTGACCACTGTCTGGAAAATCTTCCAGCTCCTGCACCCAACATCTTGCTCCTGTGGGATTTCAACTTAAGGCACCTAAAATGGAGGAATATAGCAAATAATATTGTTGCAGTAATAACACCAGGAGGCAGCTCTGATGAAAACTCACACTCACACGAGCTTTTAAATCTCTGCACAAAATTCAATTTAAACCAGCAAATAATAGAGCCTACTAGACTGGAGAATACACTAGACCTCATCTTCACTAACAATGATGATCTGATAAGAAATGTCCACCATATCAAAAAAATATACTCAGATCACAACATAATTGAGGTTCAGACATGTATGCGTGGAGCCCCAGACCGACAAAATGAGACTAGTCATGAGGGAGCATTCACCAAATTCAACTTCAATAACAAAAACATAAAGTGGGACCAAGTAAACCAAGTCCTAACCGATATAAGCTGGGAAGATATACTAAGCAACACAGACCCAAACTTATGCCTAGAACAGATTAACTCGGTGGCACTCGATGATGCACAACTTATTCCTCTAAGAAAAAGGGGGAGTAGATGTAAATAGAAAAGACAGGCGCTCCTTTACAGGGAGGGAAAAAAAATACAGAGCGGTAAAAGGGGTCAATATATCTAAAAAGCGCAGGGAGCCCCACGGGTCAGAGAAATAGCAAGCATCGAACTTAACTAAAAAAACCCTTTTAAGAGTCAGGAATCGCGGGAAGAACAAAAAGCAAAATGAATCGAAAAAAAACCAAAGTATTTTTTTCCCCCTATCCCAAATCAAAATCGAAAACAACGCCAGTTTGGGGGGCCCCCTATTAAAAAAGAGGGCCTACAAGTACAGCAAGGAAATGGTGAGCTACTAAAGTCCCAATATGACTCGTTTTTAGCAACCCGAACCGATAGAGTCGAAGATCAAAATAAATTTTTTATGGAGAGCCACAAAATTTTTTAACACAAGCCTATCCGTGTTACCCGACCCCCAAAATGACTTCGAACGGGCGTAAATGACATCCCCATGCACTCTCCCCCGGGGCCCAGACCAGGGAACTCTTGTTCATAAAATCAAGAAGCCCCTATCACGAGCCTTTTCCATTTTGGAGAGGGAGCAGGACACGGGGTCGCCCTCATTTTCTAAAAAAAAACAGACATAGCCCCACCCACAAGGGGGCAGAAAGCAACAGCAAAGAACTACAGCCCAATAGCATAACATCCCTTTTCAAAAAAAATCTTTGAAAGGGGTCCTAAAAGAAAACACCACCCACAAAAACCCATCAGTTACACAACCCGGGCAACATGGGTTTTAAAAGGGTCGTCCTGTCTGTCTCAACTATGGTCACTACGACAAGGGCCAAATGCACTAAAGGCCAAAAAGGGGAAGAGATGTAATATAACAGACTTTGCAAAAGCCTTCGACAAGGTGACCATGGGGTAAAAAGCGCACAAAATGCGCGCTAAAGGAATAACAGGAAAAATCGGTCGGTGGATCATAATTTCCCCACTAACAGAACACAGAGATGTCGTCAACAAGGGTAAAGTCCGAGGGCAGTACGGTTTAAAAACTCTGTTCCCAAGGCACAGTACTAGCTCCCTCTTTTTCCCATCCCCCATACCGACATAGACAAGGATGTCACCACAGCACCGTGTCTTCCTTTGCAGTGACACCCGAATCTGCATGACGTGTCTTCCATTGCAGACATCAAGGCTCCAGGGGGACATCAACCAAACTTTCAGTGGGGTGCAGAAAACAATATGAAATTCAACGATGAGAAATTTAATTTCTCAAATGGTAAACATGAGGGGAAAATTTAAAAAATTCATAGATTTTCAAAAAAAATTCTGGCCACAAAAAAAGGCGAAACACCAACGTCAAAAACCTGGGAGTGTTTTTGTCGGAGGTCTCACCCTTTAAGGACCATAAAATGTATCAATGCATCGCTAGAAAAAGACAGGATGGTAATGAGAACCCTTTAAAACTAGGGGGGCAAGCCCCCTGATACACTCTTCAGGTCACTTGTTCTAACTGGTGGAATATTGCTGCACCTAAAGCACCTTTCAAGGCGGGGAAAAATTGCCGACCTAGAAAAAGTCAGAGAACTTTCACGACGCGCTAACGGAGATAAAAAACCTCAATTACTGGGAAAGCTTGAGGTTTTTAAAATGTATTCCCCGGGAAAGCAGGGGGAGGTACATGATTATTACACCCGGAAAACTAGAGGGACTTTTACCGAACTTGCAAAAGAAAAACCCTCACTACGAAAGCAAAAGATTGGCAGACGAGCACCCCCCCCCAATGAAAGCAGGGGTTCACTAGCACGAAAGAGACCATACAATAAATGTTTTGGGGGCCCCAGCTGTTCAATGCCCCCAAAATTTGGGGGGGATTAAAACGCCCCGAAACCTTAAGGGGATACAACCCCCCGCAGCCCTTAAGGGGGGCTGGGCCCTGTAGTTTTTGAAGCCGCGCCAGTGGTTGAAAAGGCGCGTTACCAGGGGCCCCCCCGGGCCCCAAAACCCGGGGCCTGGGGGGCGTTGACCCCCAAAACTCCTCCAGGTAAACTAGTAATCTGCTAAACTACATCCCACTATTTTACTGTTAAACTATAACTTCTACACCATTATACTACTACTGCTACTACTATACCATAACTACTGTTACTACTGTTCTACTCCACATCAACTACTACTTTACTACTGCTACTACTACACCCCATATACTATACTACTTTTACTACTGCTACAACTACTAAATAATAATATTTTCGAGCCCGGGAAGCCCAGTGGACCCTTCCAAAGAACAAAAAAAAGTTTACACGAAAAAACCCAAAGCAACATGAAAAAAACACCTGAATTGAGAAAACATTTTAAACGAAAGAAAGAGAAGGGCCCCCGTTAGGGGAAATTTAAAACCTTTTTAAAAGTAAAATACCTTGAAACTCCCTTCTGATTTTTATTAAAGTTTTGCACCCCCAGCATCGCTATGTTTTTTTTTAAAATTTTTGTCTTAAAATTAATGTTTTTTGGCTTGTTTTTTTTTTGGGGCAAGGGGTCCTTTGGGTTTTCGTTTGGAAAATGGTCTTAAAAACTGAAATTGGTTACCCCTGGACTTCCCAGACCTCGAAACCCCGCCCCTAACTCTTCCGCCGTTCCTGCCCCCCAAAAGGGCAATTAAGCAGCCTTTTTCCCCCCTTTCGTTAACCCAAAAAGAGGGGATTCACTTGTTGGTTCCTGGATGTATCTAAAAAGGGGGACTAAAAATAAACACCGCTATTACTGTGAAAATTTACAAAACCCTTTACTACACTCCCCACTACTACAAATTTGTACTATAAAATATAAAAAATTTATATCTAAAATTTTGTTAAAAAATGTAAAAATGTAAAACGGGTATGGTTTTCCTTGAGGACCCCAATTAGGGGCCGTATCAAAAAAGAAACCCCCCCCCC